ATTGTTAGCCATAGCAATCACAATTTCAGAGATTGAAGGCTTTTCTTTGTGACTAATGGAATATAGTTATACGTAATATATGAAAAAAATATAAGGTCAATATGAATAACATTTGTTTACAAAAAATTTTTATTATTTTCAATCAGACAAGTTTTTTTATAGATTTTTGGATACTGAAACAATATGCATAATAAATATGCACAAAATAATTGAAGTTTGATGTGTTAAAAATGACTTTATTGTGATCAAAATATTGCAAATATTACAATAAACCATTTTTAACGTTTTAATATTTTAGTTTTCAGTTATTTATTTCGGAAATCTGACATGTTGGTGAAATTTGGCTTCCGTCGTTTTCTAGTACTAAAAATCTTTAAGAATTATTTTGCTTGATTCAAAATAATTTTTGGTTGTAAACTAGTATAATCAAAGAATCTAAAAGTTTAAATCACGATTGCTAAAAATATGGTAACTTTTGCAAGAGTCAATAATATGATAAACTTAGAAAAAAATGATTCTTTAACACTTATCTATTTTAAAGAATCAATAAGAGGTTGAAAGAAAAGAGACGAATTTTTTTATCAGGTCTGTCTAATATGTGTACACGTTACTAAACCTAATGATGTCAGAGCACGGATATGTCTTGGCTTTTATTTCCGAAGCGATCGATACCTTCGAATCAATATGACTGTATAGGATGTTCCTCACTAAGCGCACTTTCTTTGAATCGCGAATTCTTTGATTCTGTAACATAAAATTCATTTATTGAGAAATTGCTTGAACATATATTTTTTATTTAGTCACACGTTACAATTTGCATGTTTGCATTTCATACGTACTTGTGCACTGCCAAAGTTCAGATTACATAAAGTTTAAGAATGTTCCAGTGTAACACTATTTAAATGTCTCATCTATTACTTACATAATATTTTTTTTAATTTGAAATTAAATAGGTAAATTTACTATTTATGATTAACATAGCATTATTTAAAAAAAATAGAGTCTTTAAAAAATGTAGCTCATAAAGCTTTTTTTTTCAAAATTGAACTGTGGACTATCTTAAAAGATGGATGGAGTTTTACGAATATATAAACTTATAGTTAGAGTTTAGAAAAAAATAAACTTATAATTAGATTACATAGCTTAGTCATAAACGTGATTAAATACAAGCTATTTTGATAAAAAGAGTGTCTAATTCTCCTTAGTGCTTTTCTTCTAAAGAATTTTATTAAAAATATTTATTGTGGAAATTATTATTATATAATTTTATATAATTTTATTTATTGTAAAGCAATGACTAAAAAAATAAAAAATAATAAAAAATTAAATTATATTATAGAATAATGGAAAGCTCTGTAAAATTCGAGAATATAAAGAAAATAATCTGAGAATTAAATTGAATTAAAATAAATCAATATTAAATACAAGGATGAGAAGTATCGCGTTACTCGTACACCGTTGTAAGTAATGATAATGTTATCTTCAATAGCAAGTAAAAGTAATACATTATTAATGTGTTATTCGTTACATAACGATTAAAGTTACGAGTTATATTTTATAATGAATAATAAGTAACAATTTTTTCGAAAAGTGATTATCCCAAACCTTTTCGGCGTTATCGTTACTGTCATGAAAAATTGTCGTTATTGATATAAATTGATGTTATAAATAATGATAATGGTAACCTTACTTCTACTCCTGATTATACTAAAGTAAAACTATTATACTAAACTGAAATTATTAATTAAAAGTAAAATTAAAATTAGAATAGAATTATTGATTAAAAATTTTAACAATGCAAGATAATCTTGATTTTTTTATTTGATTTATTTAATTATTTGCGTACTATTGTTATTAAAATCAAACAGAATGACTAATTACTGATAAATATTTTCGCACTTGAAGAGGAAAAAGAGCTTATTTACAAATTTATTTCTGTATGAGTATATTTATTTATAAGAAAAGAAAACACACGCGCGTCTACAATAACTCATTTTTTAAAAACCCATTTTTTTCGCAAAAAATGTTATTTTTTAAAAGAATTCTAAATAAAAGTTGCATAGCTTCAAGGAAAGCGAGAAGATAAGATAATTATTAATTTGACCTTGAATAATCTTTATGAAGTTTATTTTTAATTTTTAAATAATTTATTTTTTATTGATTTTTATTCTTGTAATCAATATCAAGATATTTTCGAACCACTGATTGTAAACTGTTTCAATGGAAACTTCCTAAGTTAGGGGAGACTGGGGACAAAAAGTAACAGGGTACAGTTGTAACATCGTGAATATTTTTAAAACTATAATAGGTATATGTATATGGTGGTGAGGCAAAAATCATTAGACCGACATTGGTTTGTTAGTTCTTTGTCGGTCCACACGAAACGTGCACGTGTGCAGGAGCAAAAAATACTTTCTTCATTCGTCAAGTAAGTTTTATTATGTGCACAAAATTTAAAATATTTTTGTTTTTTAAGTGAAGTGAAGTTATAACGTATTATCTAAAAAGGTTTTAGTGAGTTTTAGTTTATGTTAATGATTTACATATTTTAATTGATTTTCTTCTATATATTTATTTTGAAACTTTATTTCGAATTATAAAATATCATTAGAGGACGATTGTAACATCGATGCCTGGAGACGATTGTAGCGTTACAATTGTCTCTGGATTTGCTTGGTTTTATTTAAGTGTTTTTTTCACAATGTTATTTGAATTTATTAGAAAGAAAGAGAGCTTTTTTATTAGATTTTGCCTTTTTTATTTTATTATAGTTAATTTTATTAAATACATATTTCATATATCCATATAACATTAACATATATGATTATAAATAATTGTATTGCATAAAATTTAATAAATAGCTAAGTGTTTACCTATAAATAATATAATACAATCGTCTCTCTCTACTGTTACAACCGTCCCTGGGACTGAAGATAGTTGTAACAGTATTCCTCATAGTGTTTAAAGAGTAATAACTTTTTTTCTAGTTACATTACAAGATTGAACACAAGAAAATTTGGTATTTAAATAAATTTTACAAAAATATAGGTTTTTTACATGTAAATATTATAATTTAACTGTTGTAAGACTTTAAATTCAAAATGTTACTTTTGTCCCCGCTCTCCCCTACTTAAAGTGTTTTCAATAATTTAATTTAAAATTTACAGAGATAAATCTCTGTGAATTTTTATTTTTTTGCTATGATACGCTCTTTTTCTTACATACACACAAAGAGAGGAAAAGAGAAAGAGCAACAGTTGTTATTAAAATTTACGGAGATGATAAATCTCTGTGAGTTTTTTATTTTTTGCTATGATACATATTTAGGGTGGTGCATTCATCGTCACTATTTAAAATATCTCCGTTGTTTTTGATGATATGAAAAAATGTCAGAAGGAAACATTATTTGTTTGAAATAGATAAATATTGTAATAAGCAAAAAAAATTTTTTTTTTCAAGATATGTGTTTTGAGATATCAAGATCATTGTTTAAAAAAATACAATTATATAATTTTTTTTTCATAATGATTTTTCTAAATTCTCTCCGTATGAAAGTATTAGAATTATCAAACAATACTCAAACAGCACAGATCTCTTGAGTATGTTCATAGAACATTCTAAGGATGTACAAATGTTCTTAGAACGTCCTATGGACATTTTATGAATATCGTGTGCTGTCTGGGTATAGTTTACAATTAAGATATTTTATAATTTTATTCTGATATATTTTCTCGTAAATTAATTTTTTGGTATCATACTTTAGTATTTTTAAAGCGTTTGTGGGCATGTAGGGCGGACTAAATTGAAATGAAAAGTCTTCTACCATTTCGCAATTATCTCAACAGCTTACGAGATATTAATTACTAAAGATCACCGAATAAGCGCAGCTTCCCGCCAAATGCAATCGCGTGATGAGATGCAACCGCCCAGCTCGACGTTGCTAGGCAACGGAAGAACAGCGGTCGTATCTCGTCGTGCGATTGCATTTAGCCGTGGCTGCGCTCAGCCGCGCTTATTTGACGATCTTTAGTAATTATAATAATTTCTCGTAAACTATTGAGAAAATTACAAAATGGTAGAGGACTTTTCGACTCAATTTAGTCCGCCTACCTGCTCACGAGCGCTTTATCATTTATTGTTAGTAGTGGACACTGTATATGAAACCAAAATTCTTTTCCTCCCCCTTCTCCGTATCAATTTTAGTAACATTTTTCGGGATTAATCATAACATAATTCAACATATTGAGCTTATGTAAAGAAATACATTTGCCGAAAAATAATTTATCTTAAAGAATCCGTATTAATTACATGAAAAATTGAATTCCACTGAAATGAAGTGGTTTTTATGTATTAATGTAGCTTATATATAATATAGTGGACAAAAAATGTTATATACATAAGGCCTAATAATGGATAGTTCTTAAACTATAACTACGTAGGTCAAAGGTGTAGAATTTATGCTCTGTACACCCAACAAAACTTTAATATATTTTGGAAATTCTTCGAAGTGTGTCTCATCCAATTTCATCATTCTTCAATTAATTTAAAAGAGAATAGTATTGATTTAAAAAATGATTATTTTAATGTTCCTACTCTTGACACCACTCGCGCGCGCACTCACACTTATACACACAAAGAATGTCTAAGTGCAGGATCCTTTTTTAAAAAGAAGAAAAATATTTTATATATTCAACGAAAGAAAAAAAATATTTTATATATTCAACATTTCCTTGAAAGGTCTCTCTATTGGGAATTAACAATTTAGGCCGAAATGCCAATGTACTATTACACAACCTTTGATATTGAACCAGCGACCTTTAAAGTCTCTATTTCATTTCGCGCGTGAATGTACACCTGTCAATTTAACGTTTTTGGTATTGTATATGTGAAGCTTGCCAAAGTGTAACGATACAGACCTATAAAAAAGCTGAGAGTATCAGTTGTGTGGAAATAATGCAAATTTCCTCTCGTCGTGCGACGTGACTGAATCCTCCAAACAGTTAAGAGAAGATATAAAGAAATGAGGCAGCGTAGCTCGCAACGTGTCCGTCGTCAGTCCGCGTCTGACGACGGGAGCTCCGTCGATCTGTCGGTGCTAGAGCTGGCTTCGCGTTCGGATCAGTTGGCCGATGCTATTTTGAAGAAATATTCTGATGCTGACGAAAACGTCACCGAAGTGCATACTGCGTCGAACGACAATGCCGCGCATGAATATCTGCATTGCCTTAATGAGCTACGTACGAGATCCGAAAGGTACTTTTTACAGTAGGGGAGATTAGGTTTAGTTGTTTTTCAATTATATATATATATTTCTTGTTATGTTGTATAATTAATTAAATTAATCTTTGAATTAAACAGAAAGAGAGAGAGAGAGAGAGAGAGAGAGAGAGAGAAAAGTTGATAATTTTTCATTCTATGATAGATACATTAAATGATAGTTTATCATATAAATGCAATGCTCTAATCAAGGCTTGCGGTAGATCGATTAACGAAGGAAAATTTTCACTACTCGAAAATTCAAAGAATTATGAAACTTTGACAATACAAGGGGGATGTCTGGATATATTAAGTTGTTTTTTATTGCCCAAATTTATCCGCGGAAGGAGTGAAATTAACCTTTTAAAGTTAATCCATTTTTTACTTTTGCTTTATATTGTTTACAAATTTATCAACAAAAGGAAGATAGAAAATGTTATATAGAGAAAATTTATTTTCTTTATCACGAGTTATTGATTAGAAAATTTATTCACTGTTTAAAGAATTATAGAAAATGTATAAACAAAAACATAAAGAATATATTTTCAATATTCTCATATTTTCTCAATATAACTTGTTTATAATACCATAATAATATATTAATATGTGTTTTACTTAACTTCATTTATTTATACTAAATGATATAAAATTACATATACACATAAATATACATGAATAAACTTGTAAATGTCATATAAATTATGTGCGTTAAGAAAGTATGAATATATAAAAATACAAAAATATATTTTTTTAATACTGTTCTAAAGAATTTTGTTCTATTTACTTTTGTTGATGATTAATAAAAACAAAATAAAAATAGGCTAATTTTTATTGAACTTTTGGGTTAATTTGATCCGTTTAAGATAAATTTAAGTAGCAGAAAAATATTTTATTTACATATCAGGATATGTTTTAGATGGATTATCAAAAATTCATAATTTTTAAAATTTTTAAAAGTTGAAAGATTTTTTTCTTCTTTGTATTAACAATGTATTTCTATAATTACTTTTTTATTGATTTAAATTTTTCTGTATAGCTATAAAAGAAAGAAAATTAGTAAAATATATGATTTTCGAAAAGAACAATTTATATATATTTTCTTTCATTTTGTTTTTCACTCTTAAGTCTTTTTAGTATGTGCAAATTGTGTGTTTATAATAATATTAAAAAATGACTTCAATATCTTTATTATTAAATTGAATATAATAAAAAATCGCGTTGTCATTACTATATTTATACAATGCTAACAATATTTTTCAAGTATAAAATAGCAATTTTTTCTTTGTGTTAACAAAAAATATGGAATAATTACAAACCCTCCTACAAAAATCAATTTTATAGACGAGATAGGTTGTTAGAATTATTGGATTGAACGGAAAGTTTGTTCCGTTTTTTGTTAAGAGATGGCATTACTATAAATGTATATTCGACAAATTTATTATATATCATTTCATTCTAATTGTCTTAATCTAATCGTTCGACATCTGATATTCCGATACGTATTTAAAAAAAAATAAGTTTTTGAAGATTGGTTTTGAGTGTTTGATATTAGAAGATGAATAATAATAATGTGCATTTTTGGCATATTATGCTTTTTTACTTTAAAAAGGCAAGAATGCGATCTAAATTAAAAAAAAAAAAGATTTGTGTCGTGTACGCATGGAGAGGATGCCGTAAATGAACGAAAGTAGTTTGCCAAGTTCCGTATCGGAAATTTTGATCTCGATGGTGCACCACTTAGGACGGGCAGTTTCATCGTCATCACCGAAGTTGATGAGGATAAAATCTAGACATTAATTAAAAATAACTCGGGTTTTCAACTCAAGTGATTGCAGAGATTTTCAAAATATCGCAAATGGCTGTTGCCGAATATTTACACTCGCTTATTATGTAATAGTTACGCATAGTTATGTAAATCTGCTCGATCTGTATAATTTGTTGGAAAAAAATTGATGGAACGAATTTCTGTATACAATTTACTGTACAAACGGAATAAAAATGATTCACTTTTAAAACTAATTACTGGGCATGAAAAACGGATTGTTTATAACAATATAGTGCGACAGAGATCATGAGACAGACAAAAGTGGCTATTATCAATTTTGAAAATAAAACGTGAAGAAGATAATACTTTATATCTACTGAGATTGGAAGAAAATTTTGCGATCTTACGAGCTTTTACTAAAGAACCAAACGATTGATTCGGATGTGTACTGTTGAATCGATTGAAAACAAGCAATTGACAAGAAACGTCCGGAGTTAATTAAGGGTGTTGTCTTTCATCATGATAAGATCGCAAGATCGCATGTCTCTTTAGTCATTCGTCAGAAATTGGTGCAACTTGGCTAGGATATTCTGTCTTACCCGCTCGTATTTATCAAAATTTGATCTCTCCGATTTATCCCTTCCTTAACAGCGAGAACTTTTCCGAAAGCTTGCAAAAATCACTTGGATCAGTTTTTCAATCATATAACTGAGAAGTTTTACATGAATAAAATCATGAAAGCTACTTAAAAGATGGCAAAAAGTATCGAAAACAACGGTAAATACTTGAATGAATAACGTTACATCTAAATAAAAAATATTGTCTTTCAATTTGATTGAAAAAAACGAAACGAACTTTCTGTTCAAGCCAATTTATATCTATAATATATAATAATTATAGATACAATATACAAATGAACAAAGAACAATAAAAGAAAACTAGAAAACTCTCTTCTAGAATTATCTAAAACAGTTATTAAGATTTTCAAATATTTAAAATTTACATATATATGGTGTTTTACTTAATGTAATCTTTTAAAACATTTTTTTTTTGATGATGTAAGAAAACTAAATAAGAAAAGAATTATTTAATGTGAAAACAAAATGTTATAGTCAATAAAATTTTATAATCCAAATTATAATTTTTGAGATTTGCCAGTTATCAATATTTAAAAAATATATAAATTCAGATGAAATTAATAACAAATTAAGTAATTTATAAAATATTTTGTATTTCTCGATCTCGATATATTCTAATATTTTATTAAATATTTAGTTTTTAATGTTCTCATTTTTTGATACTTTTATTCGCGATGATAAATGGATACAGTCAATGATTTTCTATTAAAATCATTTAATATTTCTGTATAAATATAATACGTCTAGAATGATATTTGTTATTGCAATTATGTATTCTTTTTATGTTAATTGCTTTAGTTCGTACCTATTAGTTGTTACTTTATGAAATTTCAAAATAAATTTGAAAGTAATATAATTTATAATGTAACGAACACAAATTTCTTTCTAGAAACAAAACAATTAATATAATATTGTTTTATTCTACTTTCGACAAAAAGTGGTAAATATTAAATACTTATTATTAGAAGAATGTATCATATAGTCCAACATTGATTATTATATAAATCATTAACATTTAAAAAGAAATAAAATAAAGTTCATCTCTTTTGAGGAACATATAAAGTATTTAAATTAATTGAAATGTTTCTACAATTGGATCTAAAAAAATGTGCTAAAAAAAGATGAAAAATAAGATTATAAATTATTGAAAGATTGCATTAATTTAAATAGTTAAATAAAAGATACACGTTCTCTAAATGTAAAAAAAATTAAAATCAATATTATTCTATTATTAATATTGTGTATTTTGTATTTTATTGATGTGAAAAAGTTTTTAATAAAAAAAATAATATTATTAATATTGTGAGAGAAAAAAGATTCTAATTATTTTTGTATCCAAATGCAAACCTAAATTCTTTAATTTTTCAAAAGGTTTTCTAAAAAAAAAAAACAATAAGGAAATGAACAAAGAAACCTAATTCCCCTAATCTAATCATGAATTGTTATAGCTCTTTTTCAAAGAATATATTTTATATATATATAAGATTGCGCATCAAATGATATCGAATATTTCGACTAGATATATTATAGTTAGTAAGTAGTAAAATACATAAATTGCTAACGATTGACTATAGAGTCGGTTCCAGTGACTGCGAGCCTTCTGGAACATTTCCCGGGAACTCGGCAGGCAGTTCATCGAATAGCAGCCTCTCGACGAGGAGTCTGGATAGTCCTAGTACTAGTTTGGAGCAGGTTCACCCATCTTCATCGGCGGCAAACGCGTCAACTTCATGGGACAGCGATGTCGATGTTGAGGCTGATCCGCCAGATTGGAGTCAAGCTGTTACCGAAGACGTTCTCGCACAGCTTAGCAACTCTGAGAAAAAAAGACAGGATGTTATTAACGGTAAATAATCAACTTGCTGCAATTCATAAGAAATATTGATACTACAGAAAAGTATATAAATCGATAAACTGGTTTAATTTATACTTTTATAATAGGAAATTAAGGAGTAAGTTATAACTGGGAAGTTTGAGCCCAATGAATTGAGAATAGAATGATTTATATATGTGCATTTTAAAAAATTGTATTTACTATTTATATTTTTCGAATACTGTGTTTGTATTATTTTCATTCTCAAATAATAATAGATCATTACTTTTATCTTTTCAATGCTACATTTGTGTATATGTACTTCATGAAAATCTATCAAAATCTTTCTGTTTTTTTTTTTTTTTTCAGAATTGTTTCACACCGAACGCTCTCACGTTCGTGCATTGAAAGTACTTTCACACGTCTTCCACAAACCTTTGTTGGAATCTCAAGTGCTGCCATTAGATCAGATTCAATTGCTTTTCTCTAATTTGGATGAAATGTTGATGATACATTCGCACTTTAATCAAGCGATGAAACGAAAGAAAAAAGAGAATCCGTGCGTAAGTGACGTAGGTGAACTTTTGCTAGAGATGTTTGACGGTGAAGCTGGCGAGATCTTCGAAAAGGCTGCATCGACTTACTGCGCTAAGCAGCAAGTTGCTCTGGACGCTCTGCGCGATCGTCGACGTAAGGATTCCAAATTAAATGCCTTCCTGAACGAGGTGGAGGCAAATCCATTGTGCCGCCGACTTCAGTTGAAAGATCACATACTTACCGGCATGCTGCGACTCACAAAGTACCCGTTGCTCTTTGAAAATCTCGCTAAATACACACCGGACAATAATGAAAAAGAGAAAGCCGCCATATTGCGTAGCCTCGAACGTAGTAAAGAGATCCTGAGTCGCGTGAATCAGGCGGTGAAGGAGGCCGAAGATCATCAACGACTCACAGAGATTCAACGAACGATCGATCGATCAGCCTTTGATAAGTTTGATCATCCGACCGTGCAAGAATTCAAGAACCTTGATATCACAAAGCGCAAGTTGATCTATGAAGGGCCGCTGCAGTGGCGGCGTACTGAGCCGAATAGATCGATGCCGAATAGATCGGTGCCGAAACCGGTCGATCTGCATGTAGTGCTGCTTGACGATACGATCTTGTTTCTGCATCGGCAAGACGATAAGTATTTGCTTAAGTTTATCAATACAACGAACCAGGCGGGCAATTCTGTGCTAAGTCCGATTGTCAAGTTGTCCACTGTATTGGTGCGTCACAATGCCGCTGAGAAAGATTCCCTCTATCTTGTCAACACCTCGGAGAATGGTGCGCAGATGTACAATCTAGTGGCACCGTCTTCGGCAGAGCGAAAACTTTGGTGCAAACACATCTCCGAAGCTGTGGAGGCCTACAAAACACGTGATCGTCAAGGCAGAAGACCATTGCCATCCACTACACTGGCGGAAGAACCAACGCACGCGATGGAAGATATATCGCCTTCTGGAATGGAAGCGGACGGCATAACCGTTGAGAAAGATCAGTTGCAGGATCGAGAATCAAAGAATGGACAAAATACTGCCGGCATACAAGAGCATGATGAGGAGATGCCGCAAACCACTACCACAGGAACTTCTACAACCGAACATACGCAACAGCGAATACAATCGACTGAGTCGTCAACGACAGGTTGTATTTATATTTATTAAATAGATTATAGAAAATTTGTGATAAATAGATGCAATAACTTATAATCAAATTTCCCTAAAAATTTTTAGACATCTATATTCTTAACTTTCTAATTTTTTGCACTTTTAAGACTTCCCCTGCGCTGCTCCCTCATTACTTCGCATTTGTTGCATAATTACATATTTATATTATAAATGTAAAAAGTATAAGTATAAACATTCGTAAGAAGGCCAAACATATCGTATTTACGGAAGGACTTAGTCTAGAAAGTAATTTTCAAAATAAATTTCATGATTCATTAAAGGCTTTCAAAAATTCATACATATATTGTTAAAATATAAATAAATATGTATTTTTAAAACTTTCTATTTTTATATTCAATAGCTTTTCTTTAAAAAAAAAATCATAAAATTTAATCTTGAAAATTGCTTTCTAGGACAGACTATCCTTAAACATAGAAGATATAATAATATTTTGAGCTCTTATAGCTTTTTCTTTTTTTACATGTGAAAAAAGCAAACGGCCAATACTTTATAACGATATATAATATAACATTGCATTACATATGTTCTGCACAAGCTACACTCATTAAAAAAGCGATTTTATACACAGTGCCCTATGTAATTTTGTTTTTTTCTACTTAGTGGATACGTTCAATTTATAATGGATATTTCTTACATTTATAGATCATACATTACAGAGTGATTAAAAGATGCACACTATGCGTATTCTAAGTTTATTTGTCAATAAGGCGACTAACGTAAAGATTTTCGGTAAATATTTACCTTTACACAGTCAGCTTCAAATGACTTTCGACTGATTTTGATGTTGACTTTGATCTTCAAGGAGGTCATTTTAAGGTTAATTCCCGTGGCTTATGATTCAAAAAGTTATTAACAATTAAATAAAATTGACAGCATAAAGATGTGTTTAACTCCACATTTTGAATTTTACTTAATAGAAATATTACATTTGTATATTTGCATAATTCAGTGAAGCTTAAATCGTGAAGGAATAAAACATATACAATTATGGATCTTCATACTATAAACAGGAGACAGTAGGATGAACCTTGCTTTGTGTAAAATGTATGCATGGACGTAGTGGGTTTTGCCTTTCCTACGGAGGATTTCCACCACCGAAAACCAGATAAACAAGTTTGAATTGGAATCTTCTTCGCGTGAAATATTGTTAACCCATTGTTAACCCGGAATATCGCTTCGTATGAATTTATAACTTTTCATGCGAAAGGAGATGCCACATGAGTTTACAAGTTTCCATGCAAAGCTGGTTTCAATTAATCCATATTCGTGTATCTAGTTTTTCGGTAATGGAGTCCCTTTATAAAGGGGACGGAATCCTGTGTCATGCATATACTTTGTATATTTAAGTGAATGCTTGCGCGGTTAACTTATTATTTTATTAATAATTTTTTTAATAAACAATGAGCGACGGGAAAAGTCAATGATTATGACCTCCTTGAAAATTAATATCAAGGTCAGTCGGAAGTCATTTGCGGTTGACTATGTAAAGATATATTTATCAAAAATATACTATTTTTTGCATATTTTGAAGTATATAAAATAAATTTAGATATTCAAATTTTAAATTAAGTTGGATATACATATAATATCTTAGAATCTGAGGCAGATGATTAGAAGCGGATGAGCAAGAAAGTTTTTCTTGTTCATTATAAGGATATTATAAAGATAATATTCAATTTTATTTTTTGTGATATTCCTAATACTCCTTTATTTTTTATGATATTTCTAATATTCCTCTAATTTTATTCCCTAATATCCACAAAAATAATCAAAACTTAAGGCGATTCTGGATTACCGATATTTACAGTCACGTAATTTTCTTTGAATTGGCTTAACAAAATTGCAAAATTCTTGTATATATTGAAAGTAACACATATTAATGAAGGGTGGCATCAGAATGCATAAAAGGGTGACATCAGAATGCATAAAAATTAAATATTTTATTAAACATTGTTTATATTTGCACTAATCGGGTGCAAAATGCAGTCAATTCATGACAACATTTGATTAATATGAAAATTCTACAGTTTATATGCGCAAACCGAAAGTATGTCACTGTGCGGACAACACGAAAGAACAACACTGAATTGTTAGAACTAGGATAAAAGCCTATAAAATAAGATGTTCACTTGAGAAGATTTTATGCACATGTGCACGCAAAATATAGATGCAGAATGGTGAGCAACGCATAAATTGCGTCTAGTAGTAAGTGCCAGATTTTACAAGAGATGACGCTTCAATAAGTTAGATAAGGACAATGACATGTTTAAGTGAGATAGAAGATATTGTAAGTTCATTTAGAGATATCAATGAAATTGAACAGACTGTTTTATCGACTTTATACAAATTTGGCCAAACTCATAGAACATATATGTATAAATGGAAGAGGAATGCCCATAAGATGAACAGTTCAGAGCAGAGGTCCACGTCCGATATAGCTCTCTCTTGCGAGTGCTTTTTCGAAAGTGCACATGTGCACGGCCAAACCCGCCAAACGACGCGCATGTGCACTTTTGAAAAAGCACTCGTAAGAGAAAGAGCAAGAGAGAGAGGTATATGATTTCCTTTTACACTTCCATCGAACGCTTTTTGATTCTCCATTCCCCTTCCATTTATACATGTTCTAAGGCCGAACTTCTAGCATCGCCTTAATTAAAAACTCTTAAATAAAATAAGAAAACATTAAAACTGCATAATTTATAAATCATTTATAAATTAAACTATCTACTTTTTGAACTATAAGATTTGAAAGTTACAGGCTGCGTTCCATAATTACGCTTTTGGCACTTACAACGTTCACGGAATTATTTTATCCTTGTTATTAATCAAATGTTAAACAAGGATAAATCATACTCATATAAACGTTATAAGCGTATAAACGTTAAAATGTAACGCAGCCACAATATTGCTGATATTAGTATTATTCTGCAAGGTGTCCAATTGAAGTGAATTTACATGTCCAATTGAGTGAATTTACATGTCGTGTGTGTGTGTGTGTATGTGTGTGCATTATGTTACAGTAAAAATAAGGACCTCATAATTTGTTACTCTTATAGCATTTTTTTAACTTCATAATACAGCGGTATTATAATTTTCAAGTTTTATAATTCGAAAAATATTTAAAGCACAGATGTTTATAAAAAAATAATATTGAATAAATTAATGTTCTGATATTAAAATATAGAAATATAAAAACATTTTTAACGTTGTCAATTTTTTTTTGTTATATAGGTATGGTAGAGCCTCTACGAATGGTTACATGTACTCAGCTCTCATTGATAGATCCATTGGAAGTTCATGTGGAAGTACCACCGGTACATGTTGCAGAACCGGTTCTGACGCCAATAGGTACGAACTTGTTTCTTCAATAATTTTAAAATATTTAGAATTTATTTCCTTCAGTATACATAAACGCCAGAAAAGGAAGTTTATTTAGTTTACAAATGATTTACTAATCCATGCATCCATCCATACTTTTTCCACTAACATTGCTTCCTATTCTGAACCTACCTTTTCTTATAAAATTTATCGTATTCTCTTCGCTCTTAGCTTCTTTACCTTTATACATTTTATCTCTGCATTTGTACTCTACATTCGTCTATCTTTATACATTTGTTTATCCTTACACTTTTATACATTATATACAATATTATACCTATCTTTATACATTCGTATAATTATTTTTCTGTTAACTTCTAATCGTGCCTCCTTGTTTAATTCTATATTCAATACTTTCACAGCCTAATTCCTTCACCGCCTCATCCTTTTATCAAAATCTCGCTTGTTTCAATTTTTGTTTCTGCAATAATTTTAACTTATTTTATTATAATTTATCTTTTTATTTTATCTTAAAGACTATTCTTAAAGACTATTAATGTTATTCACATTCTATGTGAAGCTTTTATATACCTTTGATAATATTATTGCAAAAATTATTGTAACATATTAAACAAATGAGATTTATGCACATTTATTATATTCTCAAATAAAAAGCTAACAGATCTAACAAAATGCAAAGTTATAATAGTAAGTTGTTATAATAATAAAAAGTTATAATAATACTGACATGACTAAACAAATTTATTTATTCGAAACATTTTTTTTATTTCTTATTGTTTCGATTACATTCACTTAAAAATCAAGTAAGTTAAACTTATTGTTAGTAAAAATCAATTTTTTTCAAAGTGTTTTTATTCTTAAAACTATTTATTAGTTGAACAAAAAATTGTTATTAACTGCGTTTATTCAATATTTATGCAAAGATCTAGATTTTTTAAATTGTTAAACTTTTTTTTTCTTACAAGGAAACCTCGCGAAGTGTTAAATTTTGATTTTAACGAAACTTTTTACACATGTAGGTTATCTAAATAGATGAATTTAGAAAATAGCAGTTGGTGCCCAAAAACGATTTAAAGGGGTGAAACCACCCCTTACATGTAAATTAATTTTTACTATTTTTTTGTTATATCTCGAAAACTATTCAAGATATCAAAAAATGTTTTATACAAAAGTTGTACAGTAAAATCATCTCTTGTCATAGCAATCATTAAAAAAAATATTAGGTGTACAACTTTGCTTCCGCTGTTTTCCTATAGATGGGTTTAGCGGGAAGTGGTGGCCGAAATAAATAGATCATAGATGTCATACAATAAACTTGGGCATCTGTCAACATAACTCCATAGAAACATTAGTCGATTTGTGTCTGCATCATAAAGTTATTCTCGATTGAAAATGTCAGTTTACGAGCCAAATTTTCGTCATTTGCGGGAGCTTTTAATTTTCTGCTTCAATATGAAGAAATCTGCGGCTGAGGCTCATCGAATGCTTTCAAATACTTATGGTGAGGCCGCTATTAGTGAAAGAACGTGTCGTGAGTGGTTTCAACGCTTCAAGAACGATGATTTTGACGTTGAAGACCGGCATAGCGGTGGAAGAGAGAAGGTTTTCGAAGATGCAGAATTGGTGGCATTACTTGATCAAGACTCATGTTAAAATCAAGAAGAATTGGCACAATCATTGGGAGTGACTCAACAAGCCATTTCAAAACGCTTCAAAGCCATGGGAATGATTCAGAAGCAAGGAAATTGGGTGCCGTATGAGTTGAAGCTAGAGAGCCTCACAGGGAGAGAGTGGCAAACTTGTCACGTGACCCGGTGTTTTCCGATTGGTTGAGGTAATCTAGTCATAAAGTAGCTATATATATATACATATATATATGGATCGAAAATATAAATTAGAGGGTAGAGCGATCTATAGATGCAGCCGTCACGTCACGTTGCAACAATCAGGTCTTCGTAAGTGATACATTATTAACTTTGGAAGTATGTATTTCTTCATAAAATCCAAAATTGATAAAAAAATGGATTGATGCATGTGGAGTTCCCGATTGGAAGCCGATAAAATCGGCTGTATTGTGTGAGGTTAGTACTGAAGCGTATATACAAATTTTTATGCTATAGTTTACTATGAGACACATTTTTCTCTAATGTACTTGTGCCTTAATCCATTTTTTTCCAATTTTGGATCTTGGGTAAACTTTGTCATGCAATAACCTTTGTTATTCGAGTTGGTGCATCTTGGAGCACAGCAACTGCTGGGCATTTTAAAAATGTTCAAAATACAGAAGTCTGAAATGTAAATTCGTAGTTTAATTTTATATATACATTTTATGAAGAAATATATACTTCCAAAGTTAATAATGTATCACTTACGGAGACCTGATTGTTGCAACGTGACGTGACGGCTGCATCTGTAAATCGCTCTAACCTCTAATCTATACTTTCGATCCTTATATATATGTATATATATAGCTACCTTATGGAACTAGATTACTTCAACCAATCAGAAAACACCGGGTCACGTGACAAGTTTGCCACTCTCTCCCTGTGAGGCTCTCTAGTTGAAGCCGAGAGATGTTGAACGGCGTTTGTTTGCTTGTGAACAGCTGCTTGAAAGGCAAAGACGGAAGGGATTTCTGCATCGCATTGTGACTGGGGACGAAAAATGGGTTCATTACGCCCAATTAACCCCAAGCACAGATAATCAGGGGGAGGAATCATGAGGAATTAAACCTCTCGCAAATGACGAGAATTTGGCTCGTAAACTGACATTTTCAATCGAGAATAACTTTATGATGCAGACACAAATCGATTAATGCTTCTATGGGGTTATGTTGACAGATGCCTAAGTTAATTGTATGACGTCTATGATCTATTTATTTCGATCACCACTTACCGCTAAAGCCATCTATAGGAAAACGGCGGAAGCAAAGTTGTATACCTAATATATTTATACAATTTGTATAACAACAAAACAAATTTTTATATAATAACGAAATAAACCATGAATATTTGAAATTTTTCAGAATGTCTGAGGCGTAAGGATGAAATAATTAAACAAGCTTTACTTGAAAAGCAACTACTGATGGCGGATATATTAAATATTCCTAAAGAAGATTTTGAACATGTAGCAGACATAGCATCTGAACCATCTGTGGAAAAAGAACCTGTTGAGCTCATACTTGCTGCTATTAATCAAAGTATTTATTATTAGTATTAAGAAGCAAATTTAGTTTTAGTTATTAACAAAGTTTATTATATTATATATTTATATGATAAATTCAATTTTACTATTGTCGGAAGTAGAAATATTATATTTATTATTATATGGACATCTTTTACATTTATTGTTTGTATACTTTAGACAGAAATATATAAATGATAAATTTAACAGATTTAAAAACAAAATATTTGTGATCCGTAATAATATGGAAAATATAAAATTCTCGTGAAATCTTTTTCTATTTGAAAAAATTAGAGTATTTGGTATTAGAGAGAAATTTCAGTTCAAAATTTTCTTTTTAAAAAGTTTATTTTTATTTGGAAAAGTATTTTTAACATAACATTGCTATATAATTTTTTAATTTTTGGATAAATTATATCTTGATTTTCATACTTAAATTTTATTTTATTTGAAATATTTTTCTTCAGTATATAAAGGTTAATACTTTTTACTATTCTAATCATATTTTTTTAAAATGAATATTTTATTAATGTAGGATGTATTTTATGAAACAATAATTTAATAGAGGTCTATGAGCCGAAGCTAGGATGTTTTTACGCTTCAATATATAACAATTAACCATTAATAATGAATATAAGAATACAAACATTTCGATCTCTATAGGGTCATTATCAATGTTTAAAGAAGTGCTTTGAGAAAAATGTTACACATAAATTAATTTGAATAACCTTAAAATAATACGTAAACCGATAAAAATACTCACGCGCAGTGCGTGTGTACAGAAGTTTTGTCCAAAGTGATAAAAATGCATTGGTTTTGCATTTTTATCGGTTTACGTATTATTATAATTTAAATTAATTTATATTGTTACGCTCGCGCTCACTGTTCCACTCGCGCCTGCGGCAAAGACGGAGACACTCGCGAGCTCGCGCGGAGAAGAATAACACACTCGTTTATAAATCAACT